CTGCCCTACTCCCTCCCTCACCATGGGAGCCCCCCCTCATGCTCCTTCCCTCCCCTCCCTTCCCCCCTACACATTTACCAGCTGAGCATTTTCTCTTTCCACCAATGTGGCTCTGGTTATAAGGGCACCCAAGGAGGACTTCCAAGTGTACACAACAGTGGCCCAGATGCAGTTGAATGGGTAGAGACAATGGTGAAGTTTTCATTTTTATTGTCAGTTATGTATTTTTTGCATATAGCCAGAACCTTTTCCTTGGGATCTGACTACCATATAAGTGACATGCTTTTCTTTCAGCATTTGCTCTTCTCCCACGTTTTCCTAGCAATATTGCGGGGGCAGGAGATGGGTACACATGGGCAGATTCTGGTGCCAGTGAGTTAGTCCTGATTGCTACAAAATTCTAAGCCCCAGTCCTTGAAAACTGTTTAAATAATAGTAATAATAATAAAAGAGTTAAGTGTAATGTATGAAAAAAAATGCTTCCTCTTCCTCTCAGATACAACTGAGCAGGCGCCTGGAGCATTTGAAACACAGTAGAAATAGGAAGTTGAAGTTCATGCACTTGTGACTCAGTGGCAATAAAGGCGGTGTCTGCTCTGGTAAAAAATAGTTGGGGTATGCACAGCCAGCAAAGTTCCAGCCTGAATCAGTGCAAAAAAGGAGGTGGGAAGGAACATATCTCAGGTATATTTCCTAGGTGTACGGTCCCGCTTTGGGAAGTGTCTTTCCTGGTGCTGGTTCCTGCATCCAGAAAGCTGAAGCTACTTGTGGGTGAGGACAGAGGGGGTCATCTGCCCAAGTGCTCTGACAGCTCTTGGCTCAGGTAAGAGAGCTGGGCCAGCGTTGGGATAGAGGTAAGTGGTAAATTGGAACCCATCCAAACAAGTCATGAGCCACTAGAGTCAGCTGTCTCATTGGATCTCTTCTGAGTCACGATTTCGTAGGAGTCCTTTAAGCAGCATACTACCTGATGACATGGTTTCGTGAAGCTGTAAGTTATTTTGGGTGGGCTGGGCCTCCTTCTCTATGTTCCCTGGAGGCAGGAAAGTTCATATGTTCCCAGGCACAGGAAGCCCAGCTGTAGCTGTGCTCAGGGACTCCATTAGACTCTAGCTGGCAGTCATGCGGGCTTAAAATTATTAGTAGCTCAACTCTATCCATTTTAGTTGAGTTACATCTGCAGAGACTATGGCTCAAAGTCTTGGCAGCACTGAATTCAGCTTTGAATCTCTGCATTCACCCCAGAAAAAGAAAATAAGGATTCACTAGGATTGTTCCTGTGGTTTAAAGCTTCCAGTGGGCACTGCTTCAAAGTGGTTCTCACATGTCTTGCCGGTTGATGAGTAGCCTATTGTATGTTGTGGGGAGCTGAAGGAGGAGCGAATGTGGAGACTGAATCCCCCTTTCCATGGATAACTGTTGCTTCTTGCTGTCAAAGCAGATATAGGAAATCCTTGCATACCATGAGCAGAGCACAGCTGATTTTCAGTTCTCTGTGCAATCACCCAAGAAGAAGGTGAGGACTTCACTGTTCCAGGACCGACAGTGTATATTTTTGAAAGGTCCACTCAAGACAGGGCAGGGGGAGCGGGTGATGTTTTACGTTTCAGAGAAGATTCCAGTCTCAGTCATCATTTCACAAGAATTTTGCCTCCTTGTCCTTCAGGCAACACAGAAGAACTAGAGAGCGTGGGTGAGCGCCAGAATAGCAGGTCAGAAGCACAGAGCACTAACTCTTGAATCAGGGTCCAACTTGCGTGTGCCAGCAGATGTGACCATGAGGGAATTCTGCATTGTGGTGCTGGCACTCTGCTTGGCCTCTGTGGTTGGAGACGAACAAGGTGAATTCCAAATTCTTTACCTCCTTTTTTTTCTTCCCTTCCCTTCCCTTCTCATCACCATTTCTCCCCTGCCCTCTTTCAGCCCTATCGCTTTTCTCTTTTCTGTCTCCTTCCTTTCCACTTTCCTCTACTCTCTTCCTCCCTCTGCTGTTCCATGGATAAACAGACAGCTGAGAGGGCAACTCTTCAGTAGGACTGGTGAATGGATAGTACAGTAAGATACTGGATGGTGGAAGGATAGTGAGGCAGGAAGTGGAGTGGTGGGACTAAGAGTAGGTGGTGACTGGCTAGGTGAGCAAGTGGAGAATTAGACAAGTGGATGGGGGATGAACTGGAGGTGATGTGGTGGGATAACTAGGCCCCTGAAGGTGAGTGGAGGGATGAACAGGTAGGGAATTGCAAGGGCTAATAGATCAGATTTGGAGTATAAATGGAGCATTTGGAGTATATGAAAGTGATCAGGGCCAATATCAAATGCATTGGTTTATATAAGAAAGTGCACCCCCGACCAGATCTCCCAGTTTTTTCTCTGCCATTATTGGGAGCAAAGAGATGTTTTTCTCATGTCCATCAACTCTAGGTATAACCTCCTATGTTGTATTTAGAACTGATTTGTGAGTTTTTACAACTAGTTGAGCATAGTATAACTCTGTGGGAGGAAGTGGTTTAAATTCCTCAGGAATTTCTCCTAGAGTCTCAAGCCCCAGGTCTGCATTAAAACCATGTGCGGTATGAACCCTAGAAAGAATAGCCCAAGACATGCCCCATACCTTTCCAGTGGTGGAGATGCACATGTTTGATATCCACTGTGTTTTGAAGTATCACCTCTACCCGCATCCAATAAGTTATTTGCAAGATTTTCACCTGTCAACATCTCAGGAAAGATGTCTGAAGATACAGGCATACTTGGTCTCTGAGACCAGTAAACTAAGAGATCAATATTTAGGCTAAGTCCCACCTCAGACAGGACAGCCCTGTTCTCAGGAAGTCCTTTGTCTTCTGGTCCTGAAAGGCATCTGCCAGATCCTATTTAGATTTTTGTGTCCAGCACAGGACTGGGGAGAGGCCAGCAAATACACTGTCATACCAGAGCACCATCAGCATTGCCAGTCCCTAGAAAGGTGTCTTGGACATGCTGACTTAAGCTTCAGTAGCTGTCATGATACACAGACTACTCTAGTGCCTACTCTGCCAATAGGACTGTCACAAAAGGGTGCACTCCCTGTTTCCATGCTGGTACCTCCTTCCGTTGTTCTGGGTCCTAGCTTCACAGAGCTCCCTTACAACAGGGTGGAGAAAGCATCAGCTCTGGAATTGCATCTAATAGGTGTCTGTTTTGTCCTGAGATACATATTTTCTTGTTCTCCATGTGCTGGATTTTTAAAACCTGCCCCTTTCTAAGACTTAGCTCTCTCACAAACCTGTGTGGACCTTCCTTTGACCCACTGAGAAATGCTTCCCTAGAGCATCTCTCTCTCTTAAGACTGCCTTCCTAATGGCATGATATCTGCTAGCAGGCCAAGTGAGCTACCAGAATTAGTGTCCAATCTCCCCTCTACACAAATCCACAAAAGCCTTTTGAGGCCTTTTCAGGACTAAGGTCAAAGAGGCTTTGTATGCTGGCTGCCTGTGGTGCCTCTCACATAAGTGAAACATTATTGCCAACCTTTGTCCAAATCTCAGGAGCCAGGTCCCCAAAATTCATGAGAATAGCTTAAGTGAGAGAGAGAAAACAGTGCATTTGGGGGCTTGTTGTCTGTTTCGTTGTTGGAGCTCCATGCTTCAAAGGTATTTTAGATTTCTCTGCAAATGTGTAAGCCAGAAACCCACCATATTTTATATGAAAACTAAGATTCTTAGACAATAACCTTAATCAAGAAGTTGGGGCTTTTAAGAAAAGCATCGGCTATCATGATAAAAATCGTAAGACTTGGCAAGCTGGTGACTGCCATGGGCTGACTTTAACAACAGATGTTATTGGTAAGCACCTTCTCATTTCCAGTCTCTGAACAGTGAAAGTCAGGAATATGAGGTTTTTATTAATAAAATCCTTGATTTATGCACTAAATGAAACACAGGAACTCCCTGCAGAGCTTATCTGCTAGTTTCTTCCTTCTACATCATTGCCTTCCCTATCACGACAGCAGGTTGTGTGTCTGTCCTATTGTTCCTTGCTACTCATCATTATAACCTATGCTTTTTGTACTCATTTTCCACTCGCAGAGAGTATCCCAATGAAGAGCCTACACTGTTATAATGACTATGCTTCACAAAAAACCTGCACGTGGGAGGAGTGCTCAAAGGCACATCACTTCCTGAATATGACTCTTTTCCATACGGATAGTTGCACACCGTAAGTATATGAACTCTGCGCTGCTAGAGAGAGAGATGTGAGGAGCTTCCTGGACCTAAAACGGGGCTAGAGGGTGAGAAACGGGGCTGAGCTGGACTCTAAGTAGCATGTATACACCTATGTTGGGCTTTTGCGTGGGTGAAAGTTGAAGACCCTATGGAGGCCTGCTTTGGGAAGAGGGGAAGATGAATACAATGTGGATGTATTTATTCAGATTATTCTGATTACCTCTTGGTCATTCTCTACTGGTTTTGCTGTGGTATTCTAGTTGTTAGAGCATATTACGTTACTGCACCTGATGTGGAGAAGGAGCCACTACAGTAGAAGCAGGGACAAAAGTCCTTTATCAGCAAAGGGGAGAGAGATTTCTCCTTACATGACCCATCTGTGTAGCAGTGTCAGCAGGAACAAGGCTCTGATTATGTCTGTTCTACAAAACATGGGTGGCTGGAGAGGAAGAGAGAATGGCTTCTGTGTGTTTGCTTATCGGGTTTCCTCCTAGAGGGGAGAGGCTTTGTACGTTAGCATCTCCCCGCTACATCTGCTTTCTTCTGAAAGGGGAAGTAAGCTGTCAGGCTGGATGGCACGCTAGGAGAGGGAGGGACAGGAGAGGAAAAATAGGGGAGGAAAGAAGAGAAGGACATTTTGTGGAAATGAGAGCTGTGTGTGAGGAGAGAAAGAATCAGGGTTGGGTCAAAGTAAGTGAAGAGAAATGGGAAATGGTCATTGGTATCCTCTTATGAGGCAGAGATGCAGACATCACTTGTGACTTGATCCAAAGTGCATTGAACTTTGGTGTTATTTGGCTCTCACTGTCTTCATCCCTGTTAGAGAAAGTCAGGTCAAAGAAATTCACCTTGCACTTAAGAGCAGAAGTGACGGAAGGTTTGGATGGTCCTTAGCTCCTGGAAGAGTTAATTCCACAATCTCAGATTGGCCCAGGGAAATTTCTCTCTCACACAAAATCCTGGAAAGGCAAAATTTCACTGCACCAAAGGAGCAGAATTTTTTACTATGGCTTTTGTGCCAAAGCTTAGACTGATCTTTGGCCCTTTAGATACTCTGTGCCCAGATCAGAAACAGCCTTAAGGATAAGGACCAAGAGTGTACATGCGATCAATACTCTTTGGGAAGTCAGTGTAGAGAACATGGGGCAAGCCTGATGTATTTGCAGTACTGTGTTGCTGAAGACATACCCTACACTCTCTGTAGTAGCTAGAGTTTCCTTAGTGCTAAAGGTATCATGCATGAATATGTGACGTTGCTTTGGTTTAGCTGATTATCGACAAAGACCTGAATAATTAAAACTAAGTCCATTCATGTGACCAGGTCATCTAGTTCACCTTCCTTTATAATCAGTCTTCATGACCCATCTGTGACCATGCTCTAGAGATGACTCCCAAGGGCTACATCAATTCTTATTTTATTTTTACAGAGGTGAGAGTTCACATATGGAAAAGGATATAAAAAGTAAGATCCCCATGTCCCACCAAAAGAAGATACCTTATTATATGGACAAGACACCCTGTCACCCTGTTTCCTGCCCCCATCCCCTCTCCCGCCCCGAGCAAATTATGAGGGAACAAATCACATTTGTTATGTTAGAAATTTTAGTCATATCCCTTAATACACTACAGGACTATATGCAACTATACTGGCGATGAACACAGTATATAGACAACACAGGATACAAAGTGGGAACAGTTTCAAGGGCCAGATTTTGGGTTAGCTTCCTATATCTAAATTGGCTCCTTCTGGGTCTCTTTCTCTGCATGTAGCAACAGCATAGAGATGCCATGTGGGTCCCAAAGAGCAGGGGAGCGTGCTGACTGCCAGGGCTCCCACATGCAGTGGGTATGCCACAGAAAAAGCTCCTGTTTTGCAATAGGGATAAAAGATATTTACAGCTTCAAACCTGATCGGTTGCTGCAGACTGAACTGAATGTCACCCTTTTCCAGAATGGTAAGGATATCTCTCCATGTTTCCCTTCTCCCCATGAATATCTAAGATACTGCTCCCTGATCTCTAATGCCTATAGTATAATCTAGTAAGGAACCAAGTTTATTTTCAGTCATGATAGTGGCTTCTCATTTATAGCATGTAAGACAGACAAAATAGGGAGAGCCCTTCCTTCACTGCCAGCACTGGGAAAACTGGTATGTCCCACATCCTTTTTCCCTTTAGTTTTTACAGTTATGTGGATATAAATGATGTCAGACAAAACTTTTAACTCAGAAGAGTGTCCATTAATTTATCTTCCACTATAAGTTAACGAAGGCTGCCTTAGTTCCTCCCAGCAGCACCCTTATATCCGTCTACCTTCTCTTCTGTTTGTCACCATTTTCTCCAAGGTCTTGGCCCCCAAAGCTTCTGCCTTGCAAACCATCTAAGAGCTATTGGCAGCAGTCCTAGGTAATCCCACCAAAATCTGAAGCTAGGCAGCTCTGCAGCTTTCCTTATAGACATTGGGAGGCTTAGAAAGGCCCTCTTCCCTCTCCTTCACACTTACTAATTGTCCCATCACCTTTTCAGTCCAACCACTACCACCTCAAAAGCTGTCAATCCATGTGACGATAGCAGATAATTTTCTGCTGGTATGGGAAGCAGCTGGTGGGATAAATGGAAGCCCTTTGCAGGACGACTCATTGGAATATGAAGTGGCCTACAAGAGGGACTGGGAGTCCTGGGAGGTAGGCATGAGACATATGCAGGCATTTGCTTGCACTGTTTTGAGTTGTACTATATATAAGGTATCAGGGAAGCTGTACTTAGAGAACAGATTTCTCCATTCATTGGCACTGGAACACTGAAGAGGATTTGTGCTTCAGGCTAAAGCAAAATGTGTTTGTTTTCAAAACTGTTGATAAACTGAAAATTGAAAAAAATATATTTTGAATGAAAAATAATTCACTGAAGCAAAATGTTTCATTTTACTTCTGAGCTTTTTAAACAGTTAAAAGGTTGTTGTGGAAAAGTAAATCTGACATCAATTTTAAAGTGAATTGTTGTTCTGAGTTTTAAAAATTACGTTTACTTTATATAAGCACTTTTCATTTAAATAAATTTGCTCAAAAACATTCACTGCTGTAATCATCAGCCACTGAAACCTTCATAGCTGGCATTGAAAACATCTGATCTCCTGAAAGTTGCATGTTCCACACGCCGTGCCTCTGGCATGATGTAGCTGGCTAGGGGTGTCTTATACTTCCAGCCCTGGCTGGTCAAAGTGAGAGACCCTGAAGGTACAAAGTTGTCTGTCTGCTTTGAAAGCAATAAACTCCACACAAGCAGCATTGTACTGTGGCCTAGTCCAGGATCACAGACATGACTGAAATTCAGCCCAGAGACCTGCTCAAGGAAAGATATCTTCACATTCATCTCTGACATTGTCTCTCTCTCTTGTCCTCTCTCCTTCTCTTCTTTGTCCTGTTATTTCTCCTTTCTACCCACTTCCATCTCTCTCATGCCATGGACAGATTTCTTCCTCTGTGTTAGTCTCAAATACCTCCAACCACCTCTTTAGCCATGACAGCCTTCTCCCCGGGAGCACCTATGTTGCTCGTGTCCGAGCCAAACCAAGCCGGAAGAGTAACTTTACTGGGCAGTACAGCGCATGGAGCACAGAGGTGTCTTGGGAGACCCAAGCAGGTAAGCGTGATGTGAGAGAATAAGGGTCAGGATGAGGTGTTGGGGGGGTGAGGAGCATTGAACTATGTGCTGTACTAGCAGTAGATGTTTGGGGCTGAGCTGAAGAGCACTGGGACATTGCTGGAATGTGATGATTATGTTCTGCTCACCCAAAGGTTCCCAGTGTCACCGTCAACTTTTACTTGAGTGGCTGTGGTGCCTATGAAAGGAACCAGATGAGTAGCGATAGAGGGTGAAGCCCTATGTTTAGTCCCACAGAAAAGGTGCCAAGTTAGCTCTGGCAGGAGCAGCACAAGCTCCTTATGCCCAGTCCCTCTGCCAGTGTGCCTTGTAGTGTTAGCGGGTTTTGTGATGCCCCCTAGAGTAGTTTGCCTTGTTTACCTGTCACAGTATAGAGACTGGCTCCAAGCACTGCTGGAAGGTTGGACAGCTAGACTGACATAACACTCTAGAGTCTAGCCTGAAACAAAAAAAATTGTCTTTCCTCATAATGGTCACAGCCAGTCCCTCCTGTACTGTTGTCCCTTCGCTCATCCCTATTCTGCCTAGAGGAAGCCTCACTTCTGCCTTTCTCAGGAGATGATGGTCAGCCCAAGAATCTCCGCTGCCTCTTCAATGGCGTTGATTGCCTCCTGTGCAGCTGGGAAGTACGGCAAGAGGTCACCAGCTCCATCTTGTTCACACTCTTCTACAAGGCTACGCAGACATCAGAGTAAGTGACCTGTCCCTGGCCTCCTGTAGGCACCTTTCTTCCTATGTGTCTGATCATCCCTCCCCCTGCTTAAGTCAGCTTCACCTCTTTTACTCTCAGAGAGAAGGAATGCTCACCAGTTCATGAGAAGAGGTTGCCTCACACCCCCTATGTGTTCCAGAGCTGTGAGATCAATATTTCCAACCCCAACCATGTGAGTTGGTACCATGTAACTGTCCGGCCCAAGAAAGAAGAGAAAAGTATTGAAGCCTGCAAGCACAGTGAGACCCTATTTACATATACTCTGTTGTGGTAAACTTGGGATTGTCTCCCAGATATTCTCCCATGGGTAGACAACTGGCAGAAAGGGAGAAATGGACTGGCTGAGAAGGAGCTTGACAGTGATGTCAGGATGGGACAAATAGTAAGCAAAGGAAGCTTTGGCCTTCCTGACAAGCTCTGCTGTGCAAAGAGCACTGCTGTGTGAAGCTTGAAGTAGAGGAGTGTTGCTTGGCACAGCTCAGAGGAACCTTAGAGCAGGAGGATAGTGCTGGAAGGAATGCTAGGACTTAGGTAAATGTCCAGGGAAGGTGGTATAAAGTAGATCAGGGCAAAGCAGAACAATGGTGTCATGAAAGCCAGGTTGTTTTCAGTTGTTGTGACTTGAAGCAGTCACTGAAAATGGCATTTGCCACGTTGTGTGTGTGATAGCATGCAGCTGGCATTCCATTTTCCTTGCAGCCTTGTGTACCCCACTGCAGTGTGGGACATGTGCTGTAGCGCAATGAAGAGTTCTGGGGGAGGTTGGCTGCAAATATCCAACTTTAACTTCTGTGGGCCAACCAAAAAAATATTCCCACCAATGGGCCAGTACATTTTGGGAGGGAAATGGTGCTGTCTTCTAACTCCATCGAGCAGGAGCATGGATGTCTCCTGTCTAGGGTTCTGCAAAATGCTGGACACTGACCAGCACCTGGCACATATGATACTTATAGCCTCTTGCTGTCAAGCATGCGAATCCTTGTCCAAATGAATGAGCATTTAAAAGTAATGCTGTGGCAGGGCCATGACTAAAGGTCTTTGATGGACTAAGACACTACAGAACATACCTTGGACTCATTTAACACACTTGTGACTGATGCTGACAAGCCATCAGAAGTGAAGCAAGACCTGTGTATGGCTGAGGATGGCTTGCTGTGGGACCTGCTGCAGAGTGTCAACTGCTTGCTTTAGGTGAGGAAATCATCATGAACTGCTGGGAGAAAATTTGCTTCTGATATGGGACAGCCAGCAGCATGTGGGAACTTTAGGTTAGGATGTACCACATGCCACAGATTTCCTTGCTTGGAAATCTGTGTTGAGCTGTCCCCAGAACTGCACAGGCAGATTGCCAATATGAGAATATTGGGCATGAAGAAGCAAAAGACAATAACTATCTGGAAGGTGGCAGGCAATCCTGGCTACTACCTTTCTGTGGTGAATCAGGTTGGTGTGTGAAGTTTCACTGCTGGTGCCACTGTGCACAAGACATGTAAACCTAGGTCAAGTGGCCTGCCTGAGTTAAGCCTTTCTCTATAGATACCATCTGTCTTAAATGACTTTTCTCCTTGCCATGAAAATTTTCTGCGATGTGGGTGGCACATGTGAATTGCTGGCAATGTAGATGACTGTGACTTGACTGTTTGCATTTACTGGTCCTCAGAATTGGGATCCTTTCACTTAATGCTGCGTGTGCTTCTTGAGATGAAGGATATTGAAAGAATAAATTGTACTGTCAGAAGAGCAGAATCAAGCTTGAATAGGGCATCAGAACTCAAGCATCAGGAAAATGCAATAGGCCCCGGGGTAGGGAAGAATAATAACCAACAGGGGTCCAGTAAAATAAGAGCGAGGGAGCTATGTACAGGTCTGAAACTATTTACAAGAAGTGGATAACAGATGGTCCTATTGCTCCCCCACGCTTTCCTTCAAAGCCAGGCAATGACCAGAGCCTCAAATGGAACTCCTCTCTGATTGTTGCGAGACTGAGGTCCAAAACAGCTGGGCATCAAAGTGGCACAGGTCAAAGCAACTAAATGTCTAGATAGTGCTGTTCTTCCTGTCTATATGGGTTCTATAACATCAGACTCAGTGACTGCATGAAACTCCATCCCCCAACCTTTTGAGTTTGGCATACCCAGAGGTAGTGTTCTGGGAACTGCCTACAGGACATGCCCATGGGTTTATGTTCGAGGAGAGCACAAGGAGTGGCTTATTCAAGTGAAGCAATGTAGGATTGCAGTTAGTGGATCAGTTGCTGCATTAGAGAAGGGCCAATGACAAACAGTGATAAGACATTTGAAAATGGGATGACTTTAGCCTTGTTCCTTCCAGTACTAAGCTTGCCACTGATAGCGCAGGGCACAACTGGTTGTATCATGTCTGTTTTTTTAAAGCAGGCTTGCCTCCATTTTTACATTTGATTATATGTGTTTCAAATTCTGTGATTAGAATTCTGTTGATGTCCAGTGTTATATTTGGCTGGGGACGAAAGATGTGGAGAACTGTAACTTTAAGAGGCTCTTGCAAGATCCCACTGGATATGGTTTTTATATTGTATAGAGCTCATGTTACATGGCGCTGATTGGTTTGGCTCTAAATGAAGTAGCTTGCAGGTGGATTCCTAGGCCTTCAATGAGCTCTGAAAAAAGCATACTAAGCATTGGGCAGGTTGAGAAAAGATGTACCAGGTGGAAGCATTATCTTACTTATCAGCAGATAAAATGCAACTTGGTCCTGGCATCCACCCAGAATAGAGAAAAACTGGAGGGGTGGGCAGAAAGATACTGAGACAAGGGAGGGATGTTCACACCTAAAAATGTTCCTTGTGTTCCAGTCAAAGTGCTTGCACCCACCAACTTGACGATGACAAAAAAGGAAGACCAGGGGTATGAACTGAGATGGGTAAAGCATAAACTACAGTATGGCTTTATAAAACAGAGCTATCAAGTCTTGTACTGGAAGGCAGACCAGTCCTCGGAGGTAGGTGTTGGCAGTTCTGCAGATCCCACACTCCTGTGAGATGGTGGGTAGGAAAGGCAATTTAATTCATGTTGCTTTTCTCTCCTCAGGCTGCCAAGTCCATCAACATCAGCAATGATGAGCCCCCCTTCATCTTCCCCTCCCAGATGCTAAAGTCATCAACACACTATAGGGCAAAAATGCGGGCAAGGGTGCATGCGCTCTCTGACTATGATGGTCCCTGGAGCGAGTGGAGTGAGGAGTGCACTTGGGAAACAGAGCACGGTACTGTCTTGGGTACCCCTTTAAGCAGAGAACAATTGTGGGGGACATTACTTTCTGTAAACAAAGATTCCTCTGAATTGGATTAACTGTTGTTGTGGTTGGTCTCTTTTCCTGGCTAATGTAAAACTATGTCCATTTGTATTATTTTTATGTTTGTGTGTACTTGGTATGAATGTATCTTTGGATTTTTGTAATATGACTTGATCAAAGATAGGCAAGGAGCATCCTGATAGATTAAGTGACAAGGATACTCTGCACTATACAATAGCTGTCTGCATACCAGAGAAGATTGTAGCAGGCTTATCTATTAAGCAGGGAAGTGGCAAAACTCTCAGTGTTTACCAATGGCTGATTACCTTTCACAGGGAGACGCCTCAGTTTACCCATTGACTAATGTGCATTTCAAATCTCATGCTGAACATGTTTCTCTCTCCTGCTGGAATACAAAATGGCTAAGGGAAATCTGATTAAGGGTTTTAGTAATTTTTGCTGTCTTCTTTGAGTAAAATTATGAATAGGAAGGAAACCTAACTTGTCAGATTAGCCTGCCTGGGGGAAGAAAATCATCTGCATGATGCATATGATCCCTGAGAACTGAACAGAAGAAAGAAGGGGTGATAACAATAAGGTATTTAAGAGATGCCTTTTGAGGAGAAAGGTGGTTTAGGGATGTTTGGCCTTAAAGGGAAATTTCTGGTCCCCATCTTAAGGGCTGGTAGCAATATGGACCAGCCAGTTGGAGAGCTGGACACTGCAAACTCTGACAAAGCTCACTGAGAAGCAGCTTTTAGTTAGAGAAACAGAATGTGATTGTTTCTATTTTGTTTCTATTTTTTTTCTTTTTGTCTTCAACCATATCTGCTATGTTTTCTTGTGTGATCTAATGTTCTTGTGTAATAAATCTAATTTCTGTTTTGTATATCCTGCTAATGGTCTGTGGGGAGAGTGATTTCAGGGCAAATTGACAAGTACAAGCACTCCATTGCCATGCAGACAGATCTCATGCCTTCCCTTCCTTTCCCTTCCCTTCCCCTTGCATAATTTCTGGGAAACAATCACTGGAACACCGACAAGACCCTGCCAGCTAAGCTATAAGATCCAGTCATGGCGCTGGTTTTGGACTATGGTTTTATCCAGTAGAGGAGTCTGGGGAGCAAGATCCACACTGTACCACTGTACCCAAGAACAGGAAGCCAGAGTGTTCACAAAAAGGCCTGGAGCTTCTGCTCCCCCACAAGGATTGTGCAAGGGGTCTCTGAGCTAGTGCTGTGTGCTAGGGATTTTATTAAGGAAGACAGTACACTTCAAAGGGGAAATGTCCCCTGGGCTGTGGAGGTGGGGGAGATATTGGGGGAGCCAGGTTTCCTTATATTAAATTGAGCAAAGATCCTTCCTGGGATCCTCTTGCTCCTCGGCCCCATTCTCCAGCAATCAGATCAGAGGTATACTGGGACAGGATCAGGAAAGTGAGGAGGCACAGGAGGTTCTGCAAGAAAGGTTAGGAACATTTCCAAAGTGCCTGCCAGGGGCTTCTAGAGCCCTGTGAGCTCCAGGCTGGTGCATGGGCAGGGTTGTATTACTGAGTCGAATTTCTCTATACCAGTGTGGCTCAGCCTTGTGGTCCTGTAAGCCGGATCAAGCCTTGGAGCCTGGCACTGCCCCCCTCCCCCATGTGCCAGGATTGGGTCTCAGGGGACCGGCCTAGCTGCCACCCATCCCCTGTGTTCTGGGCACACCACATCCAACATGCAGGGCCAAGGGCTTTCCATGGGTCCAGATATTTAGCAACAGGGAAGCGGTTCCACCACTCTCCTGCCACCAAATTTGTGGCCTTGTAGTGAGCCCAAGGGGCTAGATCAGGGGTGGGCAATTATTTTGGGTGGAAGGCTGCTTACTGAGTTTTGGCGAGCCATCGAAGGCTGCATGATAGGCAGTCAGGGGCAGATAAATATTAATTTTCTAAATTTTTTAGGGGCCCTGCAGGCCAGATAGAATGGCCTGATGGGCCACATCTGGCCCCCAGGCCACATTTTGCCCACCCCTGGGCTAGATGATGGGGTGCTGTGGGCCTGAGGTTGAGCATACCTTTGATCTACACAATCAGACACTGTCCCTCTGCATGGCAAACCCTGGTAGTGCCCAGGCTATTGCTTTCCAGGGGAAGATGCAGGCAGTCAGTGGGAGAACTGCCTGCATCCCAGCACAGCTAGAGAGGCTTTACAAACATGAAATGTGGCCAAGAATCTTCCTTGTGAACATCCATTCTGAAATGTCTGCATTTCTTGCCAAAGTGTGTGAATTCCCTGATATTTTAATAGTCAAACCCTTTCTCCTCTCTCAGTGGGCACATTTACACAAGGCACTTTAAGGCGCATTAGCCTAAACTGAAGGTGCATTAGGATGCATCTACACATGCGTGCCCTTAATGCACTTTAAAAATGGTGAGTTTGGGTTAAGCATCCCTAAATTTGATACCTGGAAATGCAGGTATCAAATTTAAGTGCGAATAGTTGAAGTGCATTAACACACACATAGACTCATTAAAGCACATTAACGCTGTATGTCAGTCCACACATGTTAATACATGTAGACGCCTGCCTAAACCAGCTTACTGTGCATTAGGTTAATGTGCATTAAATTTAGGCATGCTGAAATGTACGTGTAGACATGCCCAGTGTTAACAAAATGTCTCCAAAGCTCCCTTTTTGGGGGGGATGGGAAAGTCTGGGATATTTCTTAATATTTCCTCACACTGGACTTGAGAAAACTAGGGTTTAATGAATGCTCTTTCACCACTCGCATGTTGGGTAATGAAGTCTGTGGGAAAGGAACTACAGCACTTAGTCCTAGGAGTGCTATAAGACAGGCAATCTGTGGAAAATTCACGAGGCCTGTGGTCTCATGGGAGACCAAACAGGAGGGGCTTGGGCACACTCGGGATAATTCATGACTTGGGTTTAACAGATGTGTACCCATCTTGCTTTCCTGGGAGGTGTCCCAGCTCTGTGATAAATCACAGCCAGTCATTTGCACTTGGGAGAGTTTACCAGACCTCACTATCAGGACACATTATTTGCTCTGCAACTTTTCTTCTTTCCTTCTTGTATCCTTGTTGTGAAAAGGTATTTAGCAGAATTTGCAGACTTGTTGGAATCTGACAGGGCCACACCATGAGTGCTTCTGCTACGGCCCACTGCTCTGCAGCCAAAACTCATCATATCATCCATTAAGAATATCTAGAGTGAAAGGTTAGATAACAGGCTGAAGGCACTGTTTTGTTTTCTCTTAATTTCACTCTCTCTCTCTCTCCTTTTTCCATTTCAGTTGTGTCATCCGTGGTTGTCCCACTGCTGGTCTCATTCGGCATCACCATGTTGGTAGTAGTTAGTTGGTACAGCTCTCAGTATTTCCTCAGGTATGTCAGTGTGGTGCAGAGGCTCCAAATATCATGGTGGAGAGAGGCTGGAAAACCAAGGGAAGAAGGCCTCCCTCCATGGTCACCTTAGTTCAGCTGGGGTGAGCCTGGGATACAGCAGGGAGCTCTGTCTGTGACAGAAGATTAGGTTAGTGCAGGGTCCTGGAGGTTCAGGATCTCCGGGGTGGCTGAGGGTAAGGCTGCATGCTTGGTGCAGGCTCAGGGCAAGGCTGCGTGCATCATGGCCCAGGGCAAGGCTGTGTGCTTTCCCTGCCAACTCTGCATCACTGTTGTTGTTGCAGCAAGAAGAAGAGATGGGAGGAAAAGATTCCCAATCCCAGCAAGAGTCAGCTGGTGCAGGGCTTCTTTCAGGTAAGAGGGGGCTGCACACTGCGCCTGGGAAGAGGCAGGAGGAAGGAGGGCAGGCTGCCCTGGGGCTTCCTGCTGTGGGTAACATCCAATGTGGAATCTGCCTGCTCGCAGCCCCCAGCTGGTGGGAATTGTTGAGGATGCTGTGGGCAGAGTGGATACTGCAGATAAAGCCTTTGGTTTCTTGTGTCTCTTACACTAGTAGCCAAACCTGAGGCTTCAGAGTAAATAACCTCCCCTCCCCAGGCATGCAGTACTCTGAGCAGCAATATTCATTCCTGGCCCTCTCATACATGAGATGAAGTGACTCCTTCTCAAACATACGTCACATGGTTGTTCTTGGTCAGGACATTCCCCATGTTCTTCACAGTCTCACTGCCCAGCTTCTTCGTATGTGGGAATACATATTTCTCCCCCTGCATGTATTTTCCCAGGGAAGATTGTGTACTGTATTTCAGTATCATCACAACATCCCTGTGAGCACAGGGATTGTACAAAGGAAGGACTTTGGTGCAAAAGAGGTACCTGACTTGTTTGGGTTCACACAGGAATGTGTGACACAGGATGGGGAACTGGACCCTGGTCTTAGATTGCCTTTGTCACAGACGTAACCACAGGTCCACCTCCACATATGTGTTTGTCTTTTCCAGATGAAGTAAACATAGCTTCCTCTCTTGTTTTGGCCTATGTCATACCCATACCTAGAATCACTACAGTTGTCCTTTTCTGAACCTTTTCCATCTGTGCTACATCCCATTTAATGGGAGATGATTGGGAATAGAGTTTGTGCTCCAGTCAAGCTCCCCCTGTTATTTGTATGCTCTTTTCAGTTTTTCCAAGCATCTTCCTACTTTTTGCACCATGTGGTCCACAATGAAGATTCACCTTCCTTGTTCTGTCTCTGCTGACTGGCAAAGCATTTTCTCTTGAGGGTTCTGCCCTTTGCTGTATGGGAGACATCTAGGCTATTTTTACTACTGGTTGTTGCCTTATGCTACTGATCATTTCTCAGTGGGTTTAAATCCACCTGGAGATCCTTTCAGTTCCCTAAGACCATGTTTCTGCTGCCTCCTTGCTGAGCCCAGGATAGTGGTTAAGAAACAAGCTAGCATGCATCCAAGCCTGGCAAGCTGGCAGGGTAGATGGCTTAGATGGCTGCTAAGTGTAGGTCCCAGCTCCACTCTTAGCTCTTCTAAGATTGAAGAGGGGAGCAACATTGAGGTGCATAGCCTCGTCTTCTCTAAGTCATCTCTTCTGCCTAATTGGCAGACTTGGTCATATGCAGCATGGGAGCAAGGGGGGGTGTCTTTTTCTTGGCAGCAGTCCCAGCCTCTGATGGAAGTTGGCATAAACATGTCCTACAGTTGTAACTAAGAGAATAATCTGGGTTCACCAGCAAACTTCACCCCTTTGCAGCCCAGCCCTATCTCGAAAGCAGTAATTATAGGTAACAATGAGCCTAGCACTGGCCCCTGGGACAAGTTCCTAGGGACCTCTCTCTGCATGAAGGAGCAGTCCATTCGCAATGCGTCTTTGTTTCTGGCCATGTAACTGGTTTTAAAGCCATAGTCAGATTTTGTTCTGTAGTATTAAAACCTTGTTGGTCAGTTATTTCAGATGAGTTTTCTTATCCAAAGCATGTGAGCATCCCAGGCTGATTGTTATTATTTTCTGCCCTTGTCAGTGGTGTCTCCAGAGTCTTCCTGGAGCAAAGTTGACATTGCACAAAGTGATAGTTTGTGCCCCTTCTCATACTTGCCCATCCTGTTGCTGATGATTTCTTGAGTAGAGCTACCATTATATACCTGCCCTCACCTGAAACACAGGGTAGAGGCTGGCAATGTGGAAAAGATAGAGACCAAAATAGACCTGGGAGAAGGCCCTTGGAGCAGTGCTGCCACCAGGACACCCTTTGCTGTGGCTTTTGCTGACCATACCAATGCCCCCTGTCTTTCCCGGGCTATTTAGAAGGTCCCTCCTTCCTGAAGGAGCAATATTACCTGACATTTCCTTTTCAGAAAGGACCTTTAGGGTCCAGTAGCTTGTGGGACTTCAGCAAACTGAGTTCTTCAGAGAAGATGGAGCAGGCCAGCAACCTGCAAGTGCTAGATGGGTGAGTGAATGATGCACAGATAACATGTTCGTGATATTCTGCAAAATGTATTTTGGTGGCCCTGGGATCCTAGTATGCCTGTGGAAAGACCACTTTCTAATCTATTTCCTGATCTAGAAATAGTGATGAACAATCTCCCTCCAGGCCCTTTATATGTATGTACAAAGCTACATAAATGTGGACACTGGCGGTAACATTCTCTGAAGGGTGACTGGCAGCTTGGCATGTGTGCCCTGGGAATGCAGGAATCTGAATTGGTCCACCAAGTTTGAGGTTGTGATACCACCAGGAGCATGTGCCAGATGCTCCAGGGGGAGGTGCCAGGAACTAGCCATGTGGGGTAATCTGCCCATAGGGAAATATTCCTTCTAATTCCTGGGAGGCTTTTTGTGTCCTCAGCTCAGCTCCTGTCTCTCTGCAGTGCTCTCTGCAGGTGACCTCTAGTTACTGAATCATCCCTTTTGTTTTTCTCTATTGCAGTGTGGCGAAGTTTGTTTCGGCAGGGTCCTTAGGAGCTGAGGCACCAAAGATGGACCAAGAAAACCGGTATTACATTTCTGAAGTGCCAGGTCCCACTCCACTTTCAGCAACCCTGTGTGGCTGGCAGTCAAGTCAAAGGACCAGTCAGTCCCTCTCACCGGCCCCATTTGCCTGTGTTGGCAGTGCTGAGGTGGACACTACCTCTCGGGTCCCCAGGTCCTTCTGTGATTTTAATGGTCCATACCTTTATTGCTCATATGGGAACTCCCTGGATCATACTCAGGAGGATCTGGGAGCTGCCCCAGAAGGAATCAGGAAGGAATCAATATCTGTGGAATACATTTCCCTACCCCAGGAGTGCTGTACCCAGGCCTCAATGGTGGGGGCAGAGACGAGAGCAATTTTTCTCCAATCCCCCTGGCTCTCAGACCAGAAAGAAATGAAGCAGATTGTTGCTGGAGGGCAAGATGCATTACAAGACCTACCAGCAGGTGAGGAAGGAGTGAAAGAGGAAAGAGAAGGTCAGGGATCACTGACTGTTGTCCCTATTAACAGCTCCTCTTGGAAATGGCCGTTGGAGTACATCACCACCGAAGGTCTGTGCTTGGTACCGGCAGAAGATTCTGTCAATCTCTCACCTGCCCCGGACCCTCAGGAGCAGATGCTCAATGGTGCTGGCACATTAACTTATGACTCCCAGCTGCCTCAAACTGTGGATGACACCTTCAGCCCTGCATTGCTCTCTGGGAGGTTTGGTGTCTCACTCCCAGTTGCATCTCAAGCACCAGCCACTCCTCCTGGATCACAGCAACCTGAACTGGATAGCAATATGAAACTCCCTCTGACCCCACAAGGCAGCCCCAAACCCATCAGCCTTTCCCCCTCTGCTTCACTGGAGGAGGGTGAGCTTTCTAAAGAAGAGCCTGTGCATCAGAATAGCTTGGTCGTGTTCAACCCTGATGGCACTGACCCAGTTTTCCTACACCAGGTGGGTGAATATTGTTTCTTCCCCAACCCCAGCAAAAAGATTTCCAAGAATCAGGAATCCTCCTTAGCCAGTAAGTCTCCAGAAGCCAGTGAGCTAGTTGGAAAGACTGCGTGTGATGAAAAATCTGCCCACAACAAGCCAGAGGATGCACTTCGCATGCAGGCCATTCAGCTCTTCAAAGCGCTGAAGTCTGATGATTACTTTGCATCGCCACTGTGGGATGGACAGCAGCACACGTCAAAGGCCCGGGAATTTTGCTGAAGTTGCAAGTGTCAGCAAAGACAGTGAGTGACTGAACAAAAATGTGGTCATTCAAGGATTGTCATGATCCTCTGTTGTATTCTCCACTGCTTCCCTCCCCACTCCTGCGCTGCCCATGGAGAAAGGGAATGGGAAGTTCCTTTCTCTGGGTCTCCATGCTTCCAAAGTGGTTGAAATACATTAGATGTTCTCCTCCTCACTGTGTTTGGCTAGAGGCACAAGCCAAACATCCCCATTTGAAGAAACCTGCCACTTTTCCAACGCTGTCATTTCTGAAAACCTTGACATGGTTCTAGTGCAGAATGTAATGACAACTTCACAACACGAGGGATCCAACTTCATGTCATATTTTAAGACTGTCACAAGTTTCTGGAAACTGGAAAGAAATGCCTCCTACTATTAAGTCCAAGAGAGTTTATTTAGCAAGATAGTGATAGTAATCATCTTGCAGTGTTGATAGAAGAAGGGTGTAGCAGGGATGGGAACTGCTCAGGACAGTACAAAATGGACAGGAATAAAGGGGTGAAACTGAAATTGGAAGATTTGACTGGAGACCAGGAAACCTCAACTTGATTTCTCCTAGAGGGGAGATTGAAATGCCCCCATCACTGCAACACAACAAATTAGACTGCACAAAGCCATAGAGACCATAAAGATGTACATAATTAGACCACACAGATTAGACCATAGAGATGTACATAATTGTTGGAAAAACTATACTGGGGATAGGCTGAACAAGCCTGGACTTCACAGTCCCTTGTAGTTGTGTTTGCTAAAATACTGGATGATTTCCTGCTTTTCCAGGCATTGGCTGTTCCTAGATGATTGTAATACACCTCAACTTGCTGCTTTAGTGATCTCTTTTTCATATGGTATCAGATATCAGTTTCCAAATCTATGAGCCACCGTCTGGTATTGCTCAATGGATGGATGCCATGTGCCCCATCTGGGCATTTTTAAAGACTACAGAGTTTGATGAAATGTTGTGCTGTTTGTTGGACATTGCATTCACACAGGGGGCTGTCCAAGATGTTCCTCTTGTAAAGTTATTTTGAAGTGTCTGTATCCAGTTCTCAGTTTGATCTGTAAGGTATAAGCTGTGTCTCCAATTCCTTTATTGCAAGTGAAGCCGTGAAGCTTTGGAAGCAAAAAAACAAACTAACACGAAAAAACACACCAAACCCTCAAACCCTGAAACAAAAAAAGAAAAGAAAAAAAACCCGAACAACCCCCCACAACAAACAAGCAAGCAACGCCCCCCCACAACAAACAAACAAAAAGTCTGGCTTAAAGCAGTGATCAGACCTTGAAAAATCATTTCGATTTTGATGTGTCACCTGCCAGGTAGAAGTTTTGACTGCCGGGTCTGACTTTGCTGCACTGTATGTCACAGCTAATGAGGGGAGGAAGATGAAGTCCAGTGCATGTATGTGTGAGAGATTGTAGTTTTCTCTATTGTACTAACTGGATGCTCTCTGTTTTCTGTTGTGCAGTGTGATTCATTCTTTTGAACCTTATAACTTGTTATAAACAGAACATTTTCAACTTCACCGATGTGTGGAAAGTGAATTAAGTTCTCCCAAAAACAAGCAGCTGTTGGCACTGCCTCTGGCTGACTAGAGCATAGATGGAGGTTGTGTTAGTGTTTATATCCTAACTCATTCCTGACCCATTACAATTCTTGCTAGTTCCACCTTGGGAATGAAGGCATGGAGAGAGAAGACCATGCTGATGGGTTTTTGCTTTCTCTATAAAGGCATTAGAAAGAGATTCCGTAACCCCATGCATTAGCTCAGCCTACATACTTAGATTCCTGGATGTGTATAAACTAACTGTGTTTTCAGCCACTCTGGTTTTTTTTGTATCCCAGACCATGTCTGGGGGGTTGACCCCATAAAGTCAAAGGGAGAACTTTCTTTCCATTCCTTGGTTACTGAACAAGACCTGCTTAGTACAGCAAACAGACCTCTACGGAAGCATAGAATAATGTAATTCTGGCACATCAACAACCCAACACCAAGCCAGAGGGTCCAAGTCCATATTTCTGAAGCTTTTGGGGATTTCTTCCTCCATGTTGGCAGTCTTGGTCCTCAGAAGACCACTTCTTGTCACCTTAGTTTTATTGTTGTAGTGCCCAACACGATCCCCTTATGCTAAGAAGGCACCATACAAACACTGAGGAGGGTACCACCTTATTCTAAAACTGTGTGTACTTTAAGGCACAGCAAGGCTTGGGTGTGGGTTCAACAGCAGGGAGCCAAAGGAAGGATAAAAATTAGTGCAATTGTAACATGACCCTGCAATTATGTAGGCCAACAGTGAGCAGGACTTGGTGGTTAGAAAATGTTACAGCCCTCTCATTCATATGAGTAAACTCTTGCCAGCATTACTCAAGGGCCCGCTCCATAGCTCTCAGATATAGGTGATTAACAAGAGGCTGCTCTGAAGAAATTAGTTTATTATACACATCATGGCCTTTTCCTATCACTGTCTGCATTTATGTAAGGAACAGGGCACCATGCTGAGACTTCAGCAGCCTTCACCCCTTTGGGAGACTTGGATATAGAAAACACCATCTGTCCTACAGGGAAATGTAAAAGAAACCTGGGTCTGACTACAAACTGGTCTATACCCTTCTCTGTTCACAAGCCTTCTTATACACTGGTGCTTGAAGCCCTTTCTCCACACCTCCCACTGCCTGTTCACATACGCTTCTCTTCCCTCCCCGGGTGCTCCTGCCATTTCCACTACAGTGTTGTAGTCCCCATAAAAAAATACACACATAACCATGGGATTGGCCATTGCTAGATGGCAGTGGGACAAGGGATAACACTGGCACAGAAGGATCAGAATCACTTTATGTTTTCTGTGTTTGGGGGGAAAGGCAGGCTGGCACTTTGATGCCCATCTTGACTCTAATAACTCACCCCCCAGGTTTCAGTATGCCCAGACAGGTCTGTAGCAGCTCTTCATAGCCCAGTCCAAGAGTCTACCTGCTGATGACTGAGAGATCTGAGAAATTGGAGTTTGAAACCTGGTGGCATCCTTAGATGGATTATCCTACTTTTCTGATCCTCTCTTCTCTTCCCTCCAGGTTTTTTCCTATCTCTTCTGAACCACCAAATTAATTATTATTCTTAAGGAGATGGTCCAGAGCTGATTGAAATCAATGGGAGTCCATGGCAACCGCATTTCACAGACCTAGAGTCAAGAGGCATCCCTGTCCTAATGAACCCACAAATGATATTTTGACAGGATCCAGCAGTGGCCTGGGTGAAAGAGGGGACAGACAGAGGGAACACTAACTCCTTATCTCAGTCCTCCTGTAACCACTACTCCCATTTTCCTTCTTTCTTCTTCCGCTTCTTCTACCCTGCCTTCCCTGGTAGGGGAAAGGAGGTGAGGCACAAAGGACAGCCTCAAGTTCTTTCTTTTGATGAGCCCCAGTTCTTGGAACTGTTTAATCAGAAATAGCCCAGAGTAACACTGAAAAGAGAAATACTTCTTCCTTTTCCAGGGTAGAAGCCATGCATCCATGTGATTGGTCAGAGGGTCTGCACCACTTGAGAAATAGGAAGTTCAAGCTGCTTGAGTCACATGTCAGTCTCCGTGATGTTAAGGTGTACATATGCTCTGTGAAGAGAGAGGTATGGTGCCCTCCTCAAAGCCCTGTCTGATCCAGCAGACTCAGGGGATGTGGCAGAGCACAGCTCAAGTTATGTCTTATTCCAGCTTTGGGAAATGTTTCATTTCTTGTATCCATAAAGATGGGGCAGCTGCGAGTGAGTGAGGAACGAGAGGGTCAGCTGCCCACCTATTCTGACAGCTCTTGCCTCAAGTAAGAACTGTGGCAGTCTTGAGAGAAGGGTACATGGCAAGTTGCAGCCCTCTCCTCCAAGAAACCAGGGCTTGGAATTACCATATGCATTGGGCAGTGATGGAGCCCCAGGGGCCTTGCAAGCTGCATTCTATCTGGGGAAGTGATTTTAGGAAGCAGAGGGTCATTCTGGTTAGGCCTCCTTCTCTGGGCTCCTCTGAAGTGGGGAAGAGCCACAGATCAGCTGTTTCCAGGCACAGGAAGCTGAGCCATGGCTGTGCCCAAGGAAGGGTTATACTCTTTAGACTGCAGTCATACAGAACAAGAATCACCAATGGTGCGCTCTATCCATACACCTTCAGGGAATATGGCCCATGGTATTTGCAACTCTGGAACCCCACATTCATCACCAAGAGAGGAAATACAAATCCACTGGGATTGTTTCTGTAGCTTAACCCTTCCATTGGACACTGCTTCACTGCAGTCCTCATCTGGGGTCTTGCCAGGGAAATAATATGTTGGCTACTAAAGGTAAATAAAGATGAAGACCAAGTCAACTTCATCACTTCCTAAAAAGCATGTGTGTGCATGAGTGTGTGGTGTTTCTTAACGGAGGACTGCCCTGTGTTCTCCAGGTCAGTCTTGGGTCCACTGTCAGAGCAGGCTGTGTGAAAATGGGCGTACAGTATTCTGGGAAGTGCCAAGGGCTGAATGAACAAGAAGAACATTTCTCTCTTTCTATAAATTGTGGCTACTTCTTGCTTTCGAATTGAATAGGGGCAATCTGTGCATTACGTCAAAAGCTCACATCCGCCTCTGTTCTCTGTGTCATGCACCTACCCAGGAAGGAAATGGTTATCTGTTTGAAGCTCTTTTGAAAGGTCCCCTCAGTGCAGCAGGAGGATATTTTTATGTCTAGGACAGTCTTCCAGCTGATATATGAGTTTACTTCTGCATTCACCAGCTGTTAGTGAAGAAGCACAAAAGCATGTGTGAGCAGAAGTACAACAGACTGGGAACCTCAGGAACCAACTCCTAATGCATGACTGAGTTTTGTGGCCAGGCAGACATGAAGATGGAGTTCTGCAGCATAATCCTGGGACTAGGCTTGGCTCTTCTGGTTGGAGATGCTCGAGGTGAGTTTAAATCTAGCTTTTCCATTCCTTCGTGTTCCTCTACATAGTTATTTTTCCCCTTGCCTTCCTTTGAGCCAGGACACTTCTCCACTCAATCTCCATTTTTTTCTGCTTTCCTTGGCTCCCATCCTCTCCTTGATGTTCCAGTTGACTATATTGGAAAAAAACACAGACCAGCTGGGAGGATGACTGGTAACCAGAATTTATGGTACATATGAGGAGTGCAAAAGGTGGAGGAACAGAGAAATGGGAGGTGCAGCATTATTTCTGGGACTTACACTTGGTTCTCACAAATGGGATTGGCCTTTCATTTGAGCCACTGATAGAAGTGATCTAGGAATACATCCCTCTTAACATTGCATTCCTAATGGCATAACCTCTGCTGGCAGGCCAAGGGAACTACCAGCATTAACAGCTATATACAAAGTATACAAATTGAGTCTCATGTGTAAGGCATGATCTGATTTACATTTTATAGAGTCTGTCTCCCTCCGTGTCTTCTTCTCTGGAAGAGACACAATTCCATACCTTAGAGTTTCTAAGAGCATTGTGTTACATCAGGTGCACTGGTCTGGCTTTCTATCCGTAAACTATGCCAGGAAAAACTTTTCTTGAAACTTCTCTGCATGCAAGTGAGGTGCACTGGAACTATGTTACACTTTGGCTGGCATGTCAGGATCTGTACGTCTAGCTTGGATCTATTGTCTATATATTCCATGGTGGCAGTGTGGAGTTCAGTGCCACCCTCCATGTAGGATTCAGCATCATACTGCTGCCCAGTTTGGTAGAGCAGTGCTACGCTGTATGTTTCTCCTCCACTATATCCTCCCTGACCATAGGAAGTATTCTCTGTCTTCCCACTTCTTTTTGTCTATGCCAAGTCCAGACATGAGGCTAAGAAGCTGCTCTGGGGGCACTTATCATCACCATTATTACTCTCAGCTACTCTGGAGACAGAGACAGTGGGGGACATCCATGGATAGGGTTGCCAACCCTCCAGGATCACCCTGGAGTTTCCAGGAATTAAATATAAATTTCCAGGTGACTGCTGAGAGTCACCTGGGAGACAAATGATATGGCATTCACTAAAATGAATATTAAATATTGATTCCAATTCATACAGTAGTCCAGTGGGTTTTTCAAATTCTTTATATATAAAGGGCTTAGTCCACCTGTTTATGTGTCTGTCTGTCTGTTGATACCGCT